TTATAAATTCAAAGCAATAAAAGAGAAACTTGAGCAGAGAGACACAACAAAGCGTATTTGAAAAATAAATGAAAATATAATTGGAATTTACATACTTTTGAATAAGATATTCTGGAAAGAAATAGCATTTAAAGAAATAATGAGTGATAGTCCATAAACAACCAATAATTATGAACCAAAGACAATTTGGCTAGAGTTAAAACACCTAGTTATGAAAGTTAGATAGGGAACTGTAAGGCCCAGGTGCTATCCAGGAGATCACCTGTAACTGTTATTGCATTAAATAGAGCAAACACTAGTAGAATAGACCCCTTCAAAGAAAGTAGAGGGAAGAGAATTAATGAGCAAAGGGAAACCAAGCTATCTAAATGAGAGAAGAGAGGCAGAAGGAAATAAGTACAATGTGACAAATCAAAAGTTCAAAATGTGATGTGAGAAATAGAACAAATTACTAATCACAGTAAGCATAAGTGGACTAAATTCTCCAGCTGCAGCTTTAATTGCTCTATTTTAGAAATGATAATGCACCCTTTATAATAAACACACCAAAGACACAGAAAAATTAAAGGCCAAATCATGTAAAAAATAGATGAAAGGGATCAGCGCTGTGGCATAGCAGGTATAGCCGCCATATGCAGTCCAGGCATCCCACATGGGCACCGGTTCGAGTCCCAGCTGCTCCACTTCTGATCCAGCTCTCTGCTATGGCCTGGGAAAACTATGGAAAATGGCCCAGATCCTTGGGCCCCTGCACCCACTTGGGAAGACCCGGAGGAAGCTCCTGGCTCCTGGCTTCGGATTGGCACAGCTCCAGCTGTTGCGGCCAATTGGGGCATGAACCAATGGATGGAAGACCTCTCTCTCTGCCTCTCCTCTCTGTGTGTAACTCTTTCAAATAAATAAATAAATCTTTAAAGAAAATAGATGAGGAACATATTAATAGGAGGCAATAATACTCATGAACATCAATGGAAAGTCAGGCAAACAGTATTACTCAAAATAAGGAAATTTGCTACATAAATGATTCCATTTTCTGAAAAAAAATTTATTCTAAATTTGTATTTACCACACAAATACCATATAAGTGCATAGATTCATAATGTATAAAACTAGACCCACAGAGTCAAAAAGGGGGAAAATGTCAAATCCATTATCAAAGTAGGAGATTTTAACATTTCTTGTTAAAATCTTGATCTAATTGGTAGATCAGGCGAAACAAAAAAAATCAGTAAGAAAATAGAAAATGTGAACAGTGCAGCTACTGGGATTGAATTCAAGGATTTAACTGATCTAGCATCTGGAAAAGACACATTCCTTTCACGCACATGTGGCACCATTGGTGAGGTTGACACACCCCCAGATAAAGCTGCACTCAATATGCTTCAGAGGATCTGGATCTGCTATTTCTTACCACAATGCAATTAAGTTAGAAAGCAAAGACAACAAGATAATTAGGAAAATCCATTCACTTAAAAATTTAGTAACACAGCTCAGAGGTCAAAGGAGAAATCATAACTGGACTAAAAGATTTTACCATCTTATTCTTCACATCAAATTCACAGGACCCAGTCCTCAGAAGGGAAGTTAGAACACGAAGTTCTTGCCTTGCAAGGCTCAAAATATAGCTAAGATCTAATTAAATCCAAGACCCACAGACGTAGAAGAAAGGAAGTTACAAGAATGGAAATTCACAATAAATGGAAATGTACAAAATAAGAGATTGGCAAAGCCAAAACTCTGTATTGGAAAAGACATAATTCATTCTTTTTAAAAGACCCACATGAAATGGAATGGGAAAAAAACACAGTCACAGATGCCACCAAGAAAAACAGAAGGATGTCCAACACAACTCTGGACACACTTCAGCACATTAATACAACCAATGACTGCCTAGAAATGTGGGACTCAGCAGAGCAGGCTGAAAGAGGATGCGAAAATGAATGATCGTTTCACTGTAAGATAAATACTATCAATCGCAAGAAACGCCACAGTCAAGTGGCTTTATGTAAATGCTACTAAACATTCAGGAAACAGAGCATTTGATTCCTACCATGTGTGCACAAATTATACAAAAGAAAACAGTTGGAGCAGACATTTGGCACAAAGGCAAAGTGCAGCTTGAGACAGCACATCCCCTGTTGGGGCACCTGGATTTGAGTCTCAGCTCCACTCAATTCCAGTTCCTTGTTAATGGGCATCTCGGTCATGAATGTGGGCACAACAGTAAAAAAGATGACACATCATGATTAAATTAGGCTTCTCCAGCCATTTAATTGACTAATATTGTCATTTTTATTCATAGAATCACCAATCAACCTCAGCAAATCCACAAAAAATGTTATCTCAATAAAGAAAAATCTAATCCAACACCCATATGATAAATATATTAATATTTTTTAAAATGTTAAGTGACATACAAAACCATTCATACTTACGGGATACCACGTGCTATTTTGTTGTATGTATACATTGTGTAATGTCCAAATCAGGTAAACATCTTTATCTCCTCAAATGTTTATCACTGCTTTATGGCGAAACATTAAAATGCTTTCTTCCAGCTTTTTGTTTTTAAGAAAAATGTCTAGTATATTACCATTATCTGTGGTCATCCTACTCTGCAGTAGAACACCAGAACTTCCTACCCCTGTCTAAGTGTGACTTAGTACCCTTAATCCACCTCTCTTCCCTCCCTCCTCTCTCCCAGCCTCTGGTAGCCATCACTCTACTGGCAACTTCTGAGAGAATAACTTGATGAGACTCTGCATATGACTGGGATTATGTAATACTTATGTTCCTGTACTTGGCCCATTTCACTTAACATAGTGGCCTACATTTCCATCCATGTTGTCGCAGGTGACCAGATGTCATCCATTTTTAATGCTAAGTAGTATTCCGTGGCGTTTATTTACCACATTTTTTTCATCAGTGAGTAGACACTTGGGTTGTCTCCATTTTTTGGCTATTGTGAATGCATGAGAAAGCATGAGTCTCATCAGAAGAGTGATTTCGTCTCCTTTGGAGTAGTGAGATTGCTGGGTCATACGTAGTTACTAGTTTAGTTTTTTGAGGAATCTTTAAGTTCTTTTCTACAATTACTTCACTAATATACATTCCCACCAAGAGCGTGCAAGGAATCTCTTTTCTCCACATTCTTGCCAGCACTTGTTACTTTTTGTCAGAGTTTTTTTTTTTTTTTTTTTTTTTTTTTAGGGGGTCCCCCTTGCCCATTGTCACCCTCCCTCCAATGGCCCCCGCGGCTGGCGCACCGCGCTGATCTGATGGCAGGAGCCAGGAGCCAGGTGCTTCTCCTGGTCTCCCATGGGGTGCAGGGCTCAAGTACTTGGGCCATCCTCCACTGCACTCCCTGGCCACAGCAGAGAGCTGGCCTGGAAGAGGGGCAACCAGGACAGAATCCGGCGCCCCAACCGGGACTAGAACCTGGTGTGCCGGCGCCACAAGGCGAGGGATTAGCCTAGTGAGCCACGGCGCCGGCCTCACAGTGTTTTTCTTAACTTGAAAAATAATATGTACTAAAAACGTGCAGCAAACATAGCTAGTAGGGAGCAGGAACGCTGCCTTCGAGATTAGGGATGAAGCAAAGATGCCCTTCATACTCTTCCTTCCTTCCTCTGTAACAATCCCTGGTGTCTGGGTCGGGCCAATGGTTGTCAGAGAAAGAAACGGAAGTTATAGGGGATGCAAAATGGTAGAACTTTCTGGAAAACAGCATGGCTCCTCAAAAACTCAAGCCTAGATTTACACAGGATCCAGCAATTATAAAGAAAAACTGCAAGCAGGAAGGCAGAGGGATGTTTGCACTCCCTTCTTCTCAGCAGCGTGATTCATAGAGGCCAAAGGATGGAAGGGACAGCAGTGTCCCTTGACAGATGAGTGGATCCACAAAACGTGGCACAAACATCCAAAGGAGCAGATTCTGCCAGAAAAAGGAAGGAAATTCCGACACATCCCACCACATGGTGAACCTGGAAGATGCCGTGGCTGAGGAAAAACACGAACACTGTAGGACTTTAGTCATGCAAGCTACCGGAGTCGTCAGGTTCACAGAGACACAGAGAAGAAGGGTGGCTGCCAGGGACTGGGAGAAGGGTCATGGGGACAGTTCTGTAGGTAGTACACGGCCAAGGCCAGACTCCTCCCATCAGTAACGGCTCAGATTCTCCCTTCCCTCTACATCTTCCTCCCACTTTCCTCTCCCTCTCTCCAACCCTAACACCACTTTCCCTTTCTTACATCTACTCAAGCTATTGGCAAATTACATTCTTAAATCTCCCTTGAATTAACTAAATGAATATTTACTCTATAATTTTTAGATTATGGAGTGGCTCTGAAATCAACCAAACTTCAGGGGTTTGATTTAAGTTGCCCTTCATTTTTCTGGATAACATGAAGCTGGGTCCAGCTCTAGCTCAGGGTCTGATCTAGGAAAGCTCTGAAATCCCTGCCAAGTGGTGAGAATGAACTAAGCCGTAAGTAAATTCAACTATATTTTTCTGCATTTAGTGTAGAACACTCAATGAAAGTATTTATTTAGACCACTAAAAAAAAGTATTTATTTACTTGAGAGGCAGAGAGCTCTCATCTGTTAGTTCACTCTCCAAATGCCTGGGACATATGCCAGTTGGGACCAAAGCCAGGAACCAGGAACTCCATCTGGAATCTGGGAACATGAACCTTCACTGCTGTCTCCTAGGGTCGGCAATAGCAGGAATCTAGAGTCAGGGTTGGGGCTGGGAATGGAACCCAGCAACTCCCATAGGGAAGGTGGGCATCCTGACCAATAAGCCAAATGCCCTCCTTAGTGAAGATGGCTCGTGACTAGCTGAAGGCATCATGCTGCAGACTGTGGTCTGCCTGGGTGGGCTGAGCATTCCTGGTCTCAAATCAGGGAGATGTTTCTCAGAGGATGCTTCAACTTCAAAACCTTGAGGGAATGAGAAATGTCACCAATTCAGTCTTCACCCAAATGAGTTCTGAGACTGTTCTTTTTAACAAAATGCTTTTTATTTCTATTTTGAAATGAGATAGATACATTATTAGGGACTTTGCATGAACTATCAAAAGGCACTTATATTCTTGGTTTTAACTCTTTGGTTGTGGTCAAAGTAGGTAGAAAAGATCTGTGGAGATCAAGCCCAGCAGAAACCCAATAGGATAAGGCATGAGGAGAGCCGTGAAGACAGGCACTGTTGGTTTCCGGTCCACAGTGTGTTGAGTAGGGCTAGTAGTCATCGTAGTTGACACTGGCACCATGCCTGAAGCTGTGGGGGCTCCGGGGGCCGATTGCCGAGTCTTCATCGTAGTGACGTTGGTAGTAGTCGCCGTAGTAGTCGTGTCCGTTCCCATCTCGGTTTAGCCAGTAGGAGATGTCGTCTTCAAATTTCTGGAGAAGAGAGGGAATGAGAGCACATTGAAGGATGATACTCCCCTCCAACTGTGTCTCACCTGTGACTGTCTCTCAGGTGCTTTTCCTTCGGTGATCTCAACACCAGGAATAACTCCTCGTTATTGAATTCTTGCACCCAGAGGTCAACACAGCCAGCTGGAGAGTACTGATAACAACTGTTTCCCCCTAAAGGAGCCCACAGCTGTACCTCGGAACGCTAATGCCATACGGATTCTAAATGTGCCCCAGACTTAAGCATTTTTCTCTTTTTGGTAAATAAAATGGACATCTGCCGAATGCAGGAACAGGCGGCACTGGACACCTCATCATGGCAGACTCTGTCTTACCTTCCCATCCCATTGCTGCCTCACGCACCGTACTGCACATAGCACATGCCTAAAAAATGTTGGCTGAATTCAATCAAATGGTGCCCTGTCTTCACACGGCTCTGGGAGAAGGCATTTAAGATCACTCTGGTGGCAACCCTTACACCCAGGTTGTTGTTGCTGTGCGTTCTGCCACACTCGGAAGGGTTCTGGGTGTCAGGCCTCATGCTGCTCACTGAAGGACCACCCAGTACAGAGCCTTTGGTCCCTGAGAGGGAGCTACAAAAGTGCAGCTGCCACTCAGGAAACTCAGAGAAGGGCAAGGACTGAAAACGAGGAAGAGGCAGAGAACGATGGTCAGAGTCCCGGTGGGGACAAATGGTCTTGGCTATTCATCTGTTTGTTTTTTTTTTTTGTTTTTTTTGTTTTTTTTGCCAAAATTATCTTTTTTTTTATTTATTTAATGAATATAAGTTTCCAAAGTACGAATAATGGATTACAATGGCTTCCCCCCCATACCGTCCCTCCCACCCACAACCCTCCCCTTTCCCACTCCCTCTCCCCTTCCATTCACATCAAGATTCATTTTCGATTATCTTAATATACAGAAGATCAGCTTAGTATACATTAAGTAAGGATTTCAACAGTTTGCTCCCACACAGAAACATAAAGTGAAAAATAATAGATGATTTTTTTTTAATGATGATGAAATCAGATCAGACCTATTGTCATGTTTAATCCCAGTGAGAGTCAAGTTGGGAGTTGATAGTTTCTTTTCTTTTTTTTTTTTTTTTTTTTTTTTTTTTTTACAGAGGATCAGTTTAGTATGCATTAAGTAAAGATTTCAACAGTTTGCACCCCCATAGAAACACAAAGTGAAATATACTGTTTGAGTACTCGTTATAGCATTAAATTTCAATCACAGCACATTAAGGACAGAGATCCTACATGAGGAGTAAGTGCACAGTGACTCCTGTTGTTGACTTTACCAATTGACACTCCTGTCTATGGCATCAGTAATCTCCCTATGCTCCAGTCATGAGTTTCCAAGGCTATGGGAAGCCTCTGAGTTCTCCGATTCTTATCTTGTTTCGACAGGGTCATAGTCAAAGTGGAGGTCTCTTCTCCCTTTCAGAGAAAGGAACTCCTTCTTTGAGACCTGTTCTTTCCCTGAGATCTCATCACAGAGAACGTTTGCAGAGGTCTTAGCTTTCATGCTTGAAGAATTTCTTGGCTTTTCAGCAGATC